CTTGAAAGAAGTTCTATTGATACTAATCCCTTTGAGTTGGTTGTTCCTTCACCAACACACGATATTTGGGTAATATTTTTATAATCCACATTGTTCGGACTCGTAAGTTTCTTTTATTAAAGATATGTCTGCACCTGTATCAACTAGTAATGTATATAATTTATTTGTGCATTCATTTTTGAGAGAAACGAAAAGATTGAAATTAAGATTGAAGGTATGAACCGTATTTTTTACTGTGTTTTTTATCTTAAGGGTCTTTATTGGTTTTCCAACGTGGCTTGTACCTGTCGGACATTATTATTATTCTGTCCGTTGGTGTTCGTATTTGCATTGTTGGTGTTTCCACCACGGTTGTTTCCTCTATAACAACCACGACCTATATAATTGTTGTTGGTCTGATTATTATAGTTTCGGTTATAACCGTTATTTTGGTCATAACTGCAGGAATTGTTAGCTCATGTAGAGATCTCTTTTCTTTTATTTCGATTCCTTTGCTCGAATCGGAATCTTCATTTTCCGTTAGTTCTATGTCTTGATCTATTGTCAAAGGTGTATTTAAAATTGTCGGTATCGATATATTTAAATTATACCTATCTTTGACAGTTATTAGATTTCAACGTAATTTGATCAATAATTTAGATAATTTTAACCAATTCGTTTTATTTATCGCTGCCCTATTTTCATGTACTAAAGTTCTTGCAGTATTGAAAGAATCTACAAGAATCTTTGCATGTTTATTAATAGTGTCTTTCTGTATTGGCCTATTTTGGCTTATACATTTGTAAGACTTGTCAAATGTGTCCTTTAATTCTCGTATTTGGAGAGTTAATTGCTCCCATTCCATACTAAGGACTTATTTTTTTGTATTAGTTGTGCATAATTTTTAGCACATTTATATGTCCTAGGACTGGGTGTATGTCTACTTCGAAAATATTTACAGTGTCTTACAAATAATAAATGTACTATTGACTTCATTGCAAACCGCTGCAAAATGAAAAAGCTGGGAAAAGGGCTAGGTCAGTACCTAATTCAGGTATCATTCCGACTTCAAAATCTGAAATTGATAGAGGCTCTCCTCTGAATTTTTGGAGTATGTGCTAATAACCATGTTTCTTAAAATTTGGTTGAATGTCGAAAGCAATTCCTAAGCATAACTGTGGTATTACATTTTGTGTGTTAATATATTTTCATTTTTATTTCATAAAAATTTAATTCTCTTATTTTTGCGTAAATGTCATTGCTATAAACATTTCAAAAAATTTTTACATAAATTTTTATTTTGAACATATTTTTATAATAATTGTTTGTGCTTTAATTAAATTTAAAATCATTATCCAGATCGATGGCCTGGCTTCTATTTATAGCTCTTTTGATACACACATATTGTGGTAGCATATAGCGCTTTATACAAAATGTCCAATGCACTCATTATAAAAACAATTATTGATAATAATATGTTTGTGTAAATCGGTATCAATATGTTTTTGATATAGCGATTTTATTAATTACATTGTGCAGTGCAGTCCACTGATTTCAAGTTTCAATTAAACCCATTTTGGAAATTGAGAATTATTCTTCTATTTCTTTCAAAATCTAGTTTTAGACGTATTGAATTACTTTTCATAACAAAAAATGTTCAATCACTGATTTAAATATTTTCTTTTTATTTTTATGAATCTTTGGTGGAAAAATTTTTCATAACATGGAGGTAAATACATCAAAACTGTATTTTCGACAAAGCCCCAAATTTTTACAGATCTGGAAGGCAATTTGGTTTTATAGCTTCCTTATTATCATTTTTATACCCGTTACTCGTAGAGTAAAAGGGTATATTGTATTCGTGCAAAAGTATGTAACAGCTAGAAGGAAGCGTTTCCGACCCTATAAAGTATATATATTCTTGATCAGGATCACTAGCCGAGTCGATATAGCCATGTCCGTCTGTCCGTCTGCGTCCGTCTGTCCGTCCTGTCTGTCTGTCTGTCTGTCTGTCCGTATGAACGCTGAGATCTCGGAAACTATAAAAGCTAGAAGATTGGCATTTTGCATGTAGATTCTAGAAGTTCCTACGCAGCGCAAGTTTGTTTCAAAATGGTGCCACGCCCCCTTTAACGCCCACAATCGCTTATATACATTTTATAAAATTTAAATATTTCGGAAAAGTAAAAATGCAGTTTTATCAATGCCTATCGAAACGTAGCAGAAATTTTTCAAATCGGACCATTCGTTAAAAAGTTATGCGTGATCAAAGTTTCTATCTCCATCTCCCTCGCACTCCCTTTACCTGAGTAACGGGTATCTGATAGTCGGGGCACCCGACTATAGCGTTCTCTCTTGTTTATTTTCTATATTTATGCGAATATAATTTGCTTCGAACGAAGCAAAACCAACGAAATGGATTGTACCAAATATTTCAGTAAGTGAACAAAAATTAAACACACTTAAAAAATGTTAATTAAAAATAATAGATAAGTCAAAGTTTAAGTTTAAGGTAAACTTAAAAAGGTGATATTCTAAAACACATGTATCAAAAAAAAAGTATAGGAACGCATATTAATAGCATTCTGATAGAAAAAAAAAATATATATACATATAAACATATGAGCTAAATCTTGGGCCTAGGGATAAATTAAATTAAATACTGAAATTAACTTAAACAAAAAGAATAATGAAAAACGATATTGTCGAAACCAATATTTTCCCAGTTAATGGCAATCAATCGGATTTTAGGTAGCGCCATCTTCCGAACTGCAGTGTCAAAAACACAAACAAAGAGCGAGCAGCGCCGTTGTTAGTTCATTCGCTCTCTTTCGCTTTCTCAAATGTTAGAACCCTGTTTTTGAACATGCAGTGACGTCATAATTTACATCTAAAATGTTCTTAGGATTGTGAAGTAACTGCTGTCTAAAGTGTTTGATGATTTGTGGGCGTTAGAATGGGCGTGGCAACATTTTATGTAAACTTGCGCTGCGTAAGAAAACCTGGAATCTGTATGCGGCCAAATGCTGAGCAAGGGGTTTTGCAGCACACAGAATACCCATGTACCATTTGCAAGCTGTAAAGTATAATATAAAATAAGTCTTGAAATGAAACTCAAAGCCGACAGTCTATTCCAATCCAATTTATAAGCCCTATATCAATGCGGACATCAGACCTGAATTATTATATAGCCATTGGAACATCTAGAAGAAGAAACTTAGTACCTAGTGACCAGGGCCCCTCATTTAAGTTATTTTTTACTCATGCTGGTGTTGTTGTTTTTTGTCTCTTTCTTTCTCTTTGTCTTGGACGCTGTTGCGACTTTTTGTCTACATTTCTGAAAATCTCTCTGAGGAGTATAACATTGTTGCTGAGTTGTTGGAACGGCAAAACTTTATCATTGTTACGCTCCCGATCTATCACTTCCTCTGTCTATCCCGTTGTAAGCTGACTAATTAATCAGAGTTAATCGGATTTTATCTCTCTCTTTTTGTTCTTTATCCTATCCAGTTTCCTAATGTCAAAGTTATTCGGTGTTACACTACCACTCCGAAATATTTCCACAGTGGTCCGATTAAGAATGATAATGGCTCTCTGTTGCCTGGCTAACCGCGATGTGGTGCGTCCAGGAATTTGTCACTCTCGCTTGTGGTCGACCTCTCATCACAGGATATTATGGCTTACAGTCCAAGTTGATATTTGAAGGTTAAGCAATTAAAATGTTCTTAGGGTACTAAAGTATAGTAGAATCCGATTATAACTACTTTCAAGGGACCAACGATTTTACGTCGTTATACCCGGATGACGCACCAGCCATATAAGTTTGTATGGGACCAACAAAGCCATCGAGTTTTCGTCGCAATATCCGGACGGACACTATACGAGGAGTCGTTATAACCGGATTGTACTGTATCATCTGAATGACATGACAGAGTTTCGCGATTTGTGAGCGTAGGCTTAACTAGTTTTCGAGATCTCAACGGCAGACGGAAGTGCTTATTTCTGCAAAGTGCTTTTACATATTAAGAGTTTTAATTTAAAATGATAAATCGATATGCATAACCGCCTTGTAATTCCACACGTAAAAAAAATATATTTTTGGGATAACACTCTTAACTCAATACATCGTCGTATTATCGTCAAAAAATAGTAACAAATTTTCGTACAAATACCATAAGACAGTCATACAGCTGATTACTTGAAAAATTAAAAAAATATTACTTCTCAAACAAAATGTGGAAATGAAAATAATACCGCCTCTAGTCGATCTGGAAGCGAAGGAAAGCCTCTTTTTTCGAGTTCAGTCCCCATATTTATACATTTTTAAAAGAAATTAAAGTCGCATAATTTAAAAGGATGATAAATATGGTTAGGAACTAAATATCAATTTAACATAACATTATGAGAAACTCGATGAAAACATTAAAGCGTTTTGTTACCTTTCAGTTTGTCTTTAATTTAGTGCGCATTTATGTTTCAACCTTATGTTTTTAGACCTTAGATTTAATTAATGATTTAAAATCTACTTTAATAATTTCAAGAAGATTCTGTTATAAAATAACTAAAATTAACAAATTAGTTTTGAATTTTAATTGGAAAAAAAATCGAATTCTGACCAAAAGTTTTAAAGAACTAAAATCATAATATCAACCCAAATAGAAATAGGCACTTACCTATACACAACCAATGTAAAAACTACGCTTACCCGGTCACAAGAGAATTCTGTACCAGTCAGGTGAATTTTCCCAGCCCACAGATCACATTACAACTGAGAAACTACCTTTCTGATACTGATCAATAATATCGGAAATGTCTCCTTCACCACGATGGAAATTTTTGTTGAAATTATAAAAAAAAACACCGCTTAGCGAGGTAAAAAAGTCGTGACCATCGCAAATTCAAAACACAAAATTTCTGATATACAATTTTTTGACATAAAATTATTGCATTTGTGGAAATAAATACTCACGATTAAAATATTAGATATATTATAAACAATAATTGAATAATACGATACTTACATCTAGATTTGCAGTGGAACCAAAATTCGTTGTCGATCGTGGAACTAGAATATTATGTTGAGCCCTTAAAAAAATATTAGTTTAATGTAAGTTTAATTTATAAGGTACCGCTCGCTCTAGAAAAACTTACTTTTCTGAACCCAATTCTTCGTTTTGTGCTGTAAAAACAAAAATAATTAATATATATATATATTCAAGAAGTAAGAACCGAATTAGTTACCAAAGTTTATTTGCAAGTCCTTTTCATAGGTGTCCCATGCATCCGCTTTTTCTTGTTCACTTAATTCTTGCTCAACTTTATTTTCTAAAAGACTGTCATGTTCGTGGTATTTATATACTAAGTCAGATTGGCGTAATAAATCGGCTAAAATTGTATCCTTTGGGAGCACAGGCATTGTTCTTTCACAGTTTTTCGGAGTCGTGAGTCTATAATGAATATATTTTATTTTACGAACAATTTTACTAGTAATATAACTTATTACGCTAGGTTTTCGTTTAAATCCTTCAAACAAAAATGCTAAAAAAAAATTATATCAGAAAAGCACTCAAAATTATCTCGAGAAGCCTTGAATTCGACTTCACCACGTAGCGTTGGAGCAGGATGCATTGATAATGACCGATTTAGGTTACGGGCGTCTCAAAAGAAACCAAGGAATTACCCTTTCACTATTCTCAGCTTTGATACCCCTATACGAAAGGGGGAAAGGACCTAAAAAGGACCTTCCCAACCCAAGCTTGGAAAATAAAAGGCTTTTTTGGGTCGTCTCCTCCGGAAAAAATAACTTGCTGAAGTGATTATTGATTCATCCTTCTTAAAATTTTTTTTTTTAAATGCAAGGAGAAACCTTTTAGACCGAGAAAGACCAGGTAATGAAATACTTGCATGTCATAGAACAAACCAATCAGATTGACAAATTGTACAATTCCCTTAGAGTGATCGCTGTTTTGCACTTGCTTAACTTAACAGTGACATCGAAAGTGCCCTTAATCGATTTCGGTCTTTGACGAAAACAAATTATTATTACTAATAAACTATAGTTTTCATTCAAGGAATGACTCTTTAAATCTTAAAACTTTATGGTGAGATTCGTGCTATAATCTACATAATCCTGCAAAACAGTGATGTGAGCTGTTCACAGTTTGATTCCCGTTTCAGGATATTTGGTTGGTTGTGTGACAGTCTTTTTTCCTTCGCTCTGTTGCAACAAAACCTTGAGGTAACATTTTGTAAGCGCTTACGAGCAACCGCCGATGGATCAAAAGTCTTAAGTCTTAAAAGTCTAAATTTAACCAAATATTTTTTATAGAAAAATCAATCATTATAATTTTAGTTATAAGTTTTTAGTTCAGTCGACTGCCAAATTCTGCCCAAACCATGATCCTCCACAGTGGTTTCGCTTATGGCAAACCTGTTGTAGTTTTCTTTTATCGCTCCATTACTTTTGACACGAGTTTAAATTAAGTTTTTTTTATCCGAATATTTTACTTTTATAAACTGCTCTGAACAAAATTGTTTCTCTCGGCAATTCGTTGATGAGCGGTTATGCAAGACTTGTTGTTTTGGAAAGCTAGACACCGAATGCAACGCCACATGACATGGGTAGCTGAAGCGCGTGAACAGTTAAGAGCAGATGAAAATATACAATACAAACGTCTTGCATTCAGATATAATCCAGCAGTTGACTATAGCGAAAGTTGCAATGTTGTTGTTTGCCAAATGAGTCAGGTCTGCCAGGCTATAAAGTTTAAAAATGAACCGAAAGGAATTTGTTGCGCTTTTGGAAAAATCAAATTTCCTCAAATAGAAGTACAACCAGAGCTTCTGTGCACTCTATTTGATGGATGTACTGCTGAATCAAAGCATTTTCTATCGAACATTCGGAAATATAACTCTAGCTTTCAAATGACGTAATTTGGTGCAGAAATAACGCGTCCGCAATTTATGCCAACTTTCAAAATCAGAGGACAAATATATCACACAGCTGGTGATTCCCTGCTTCTGTTACGAGACAGTGAACATAAATTTCTCCAAATGTATTTCATTGGGGATGATAGCGATATAGTCGATGCGCGTTAAAATAACTATAAACACATACCCGTTTACTGGGAGATCTATTCAAAATTACTAACACAAATATTAGGCTAAATAAATGAAAACAAAACACTCGCAGAAAATCACTGAAAAAATACAAAAACTCAGAGCACAAAGGTAAACACAACTGTTCACAAGCGACGCTAAATCGCTAATTTAAAACGAAACGTTGATAAACATTGAAGACAAGTGCTTAGCTATTGCAAATAAAGTTCTCAGCAATTTAGAAATGAAAGCACCCATCAGGACTGAAAATGCTTTATTAGATATGGATTTGGGTCGAGAACAGAGATACGACTACAGGGATCTCCATTTATATGTGAATTCGAACATTGGAAAATTAACGCGTGAACAGAAGGCATATCATATATGGAGATGATAACGGGCGGATGTGGGGGTATCTTCTTCTTGGATGCTCCAGGAGGAACTAGGAAGACATTCCTTATCAAATTCACTCTGGCAACGGTTAGAGCGAAAAAAGATATACATTGTTACCCGGTGGAACAACTGCTCATTCAGCTTTGAAGTTGCCATTGAAGTATGGGAAAAGTTTTACAGAAATGTAAACTTATTGTTTGGGATGAATGCACGATGTCACATAAAAAATCACTAGAGGCTCTTGATCGATCATTGCGCGAAAGCATTAATATTACTCTCAGAAGATTTTAGGCAAAAGTTACCAGTAATTTCTCGATCGACACCAGCCGACGAAATAAATGCTTGCCTAAAATATTCAGCATTGTGGCGACACGTACGTACATTGAAGTTGACGACAAATGTGCGTCTTCAGCTGCAGAACGATCAAACAGCGGAGGAGTTCTCACGACAGTTACTGGACATTGGGAACGAAAGACTGCCAGTCGATGAAATGTCAAGAGAAATAACATAACCAGATCATTTTTTAAATTTAGTTTCATCGAAAGAAGAAATCATACAAAAAGTATTTCCGAATATTGAAAGAAATTATAGCGACTGGCTCAGCGAACAAGCCAAACTTGCCGCCAAATTAAATAAAGATTAATAATGAAATTCAATTGGACATTCAGGCTTTTTAAATATCATGTCAATAGATACCGTTGTGGAAATAGAAGAAGCCGTAAATTACCCAACGGAATTTTTGAACTCACTTAATCTGCCAGGGATGCCACGACACATACTGAAATTGAGTATAGGAGTGCGAATTATCCTGTTGCGAAACATCAATCAACCAAAACTATGCAATGGGACTCGACTGGCAGTCAAGAAATTAATAAACAATGTAGTGGAAGCAACAAAAATAGTAGGGCCATTCAAAGGATAAGATGTCCTTATCCCTAGAATTCAAATAATTCCAACTGATACACCTTTTCAATTTAAAATATTGCAGTTCCCAATTAGATTGGCATTCGCATAACAATCAATAAAGCACAGGTGCAAACTTTGGAATTTTGTGGCTTAGATTTTAGTGAGAATTGCTTCTCACACGGACAATTGTATGTTGCGTGTTCCCGTGTAGATAAACCAAATAGCCTATACATTTATTCCGAGAACAGAAAAACAAAAAACATTGTATACCAACAAGTGTTACAAAATTAAATGGTTGTGAAACTTTTGCTTTGTGTCTTATTATTTATGTATCCAGAAATATGCCACAGCGAAGCGTGACAGGGTACCGCTAGTAATGGATAATAATGGATACCTACAAAAACAATAAAAAGTGCTTATATACTTCTTTCCATGAGGTACATAACATGTAGAAGGTACCGTATCCGACCCTATAAAGTATATATAATCTTGTTCAGGATCAATAGCCGAGACGATTAAGCCATGTCCATGTGTCTGCCCGTCTGTCCGTTCTTCTGTTTGTATGAACGTCGAGATCTTGGAAACTATTAAAGCTAGAGATTTAGAATTTGGACCACTTGTGGGACACCGGCGGTAACACGGAGAATTTTAGAAATATAATTTTTGAAAATGACCCTTAGTAACCTGCCATTCAAGTAACTTGAGATCCATATAAAGAGATTAACTGGAAAACCTAACAGGTCAAGCTTCCGAACGAGAAGTAAATGATTTACAAAGTCAAATGCTTTACTAAAGTCAGTCTAAATGACTTCTGTTTGAAAACTACTATTAAAGCCCTTTCTCACAAATGTAGTAAGCTCCAGAATTGTGGATCTACTTTTAATGACGTAGAAATGATTGATCACAAAGGTGCAGCAAACGATTAGTAATGATTTTTTCAAAAAGCTTAGGAATAGCTGACAACTTAGATATACCTCTGCAGTTACTGGCTTCTAACTTGTTACCTTTTTGAAAAGAGGAATAACAAATGATTCCTTCCAAATATTTAAGAATTGGAAAGTCTTTACAGATAAGGTAAACAACTTGTGAAGAGGTTTGCACAGATAAGTTGATTTATTGGAAATTGACTGATAGTACCACGGAACACAGGAATTTAAAAATGAGTTTATTGCAGTGTAAAAAACATTAACTGACCAGATTTAGTTACTGGGGTCTAACTGGTTACCTTTTTTGTAAAAAGGAATAACAAATGATTCCTTCCAAATATTTGGAAATTGAAAAGTTTCTAGAGATAAGGTAAACTTGTGAAACCTCTTCACAGGGCATTAGCGCAATACCTAAGCACGCACCCAAGAATACCATCGGGTCCTGGCGAATAAACAGGCTTAATACGAAGAAGATCCAAAAGAAGACAGCTGTCTGTTAAAGTAGGACGGAATATGAGGTTTGACTTCGATATGGTGTAAGAATAAGGCTGTGATAAATTATCTAAAGTAGAGTAAGTCGTTTGAAAAAATTAGGCAAATAAATCAGCTATTGCCTGGTCATGTTTTCAAACACAAGCGAGGAAGGAATTAGATTTACGCTTGCTGTTAACGAAGTTATAAAACTGTTTCGGGTCGTGAGAGAACTGGACCTTACAACGGTTGAAGTAACTATTGTAACACTGAGCATTAAGCATGGTAAATCTGGACCGAGCACTTAAATATATAGTTAAAGTAGATTGAGAACCGGTATTTTTATATTTCCTAAAAAGTCTGGACTTTACATTTCTTAAGTGTTTTAACTCTTTGCTAAACCAAGGTGATTTTTGAAAATTGACGGATATTACCACGGAACACAGGAATTAAAAATGAGTTTATTGCAGTGTAAAAAACATTAACTGCACAAAACATTAATTGCACAAGTAAAGATCAGACCAATTATAGCCAGAAATAAAATTATTTAGCCTCAGAAAGTCTGCCTTGCGAAAACAATGTATTCGTTTGTTTGATTTTTCTGATTTCTCTTCTATAACTCTACCCGTGTCAAATGTAAGTTCGATTGTAGG